TGCATTTTACAACATTTCGCAACCAAACTTTGCAATTTTACTAATTTTAGTATGCTCTTTCTAGCTGTTGTGATTTATTTGCATCTCCTTGCCTAGTTCTAAAATTAGTCTATAATGGGAATTGTCTATTCCAGCTATCGACTATTTTTTTATCTAGACAAGAAAGACGAAATATATCATTATAGCTCAAAAGAGCATCCTAAAATTAGTAAAATTGCAAAGTTTGGTTGCAAAATGTTGTAAAATACGGAAAATATCGCCCTGTGAAATTAGCAAATTTTGAGTATTTTAGTTTTTACGCTCAGTAAAAATAACCACTTTTGAGCCGAAAGTGATTATTTTTACCGCGCGTAATACTAAAATACCGTCAAAATTTGGTAATTTCACAAGGCTATATTTTCCGTATTTTACAACATTTCGCAACCAAACTTTGCAATTTTACTAATTTTAGGATGCTCTTTTGAGCTATGATATATTTCGTCTTTCTTGTCCAGATAAAAAATTAGTCGATAGCTGGAATTGTCTATTAAGAAAATAGTTTAACCTCTCACTAGCTGCAGTGAGATCCGCATGTCATTGCTAATGTCGATGAAACATTGTGTGTTCATATAAGAAATGAGTCAGCCCTGCCTATAAGGTGAGATCTCAGCTCGTGTTGGGTGTGATCTCAGCTAAGTGGGATAACATTTTCCATATGAACGCTTCATTCATGCACCTGACGAATTAATTTTGCTTTTACTTTTTTTTTTACTTTTACTTTTACTTTTGCTTTTGCTTTCGCTTTTGTTTTTGCTTTTGCTTTTGCTTTTGTTTTTGCTTTTGCTTTTGCTTTTGCTTTTGCTTTTGCTTTTGCTTTTTTTTTTACTTTTACTTTTACTTTTGCTTTTGCTTTTGCTTTTGCTTTTGCTTTTGCTTTTGCTTTTGCTTTTGTTTTTGCTTTTGTTTTTGCTTTTGCTTTTGTTTTTGCTTTTGCTTTTGCTTTTGCTTTTGTTTTTGCTTTTGCTTTTGCTTTTGCTTTTGCTTTTGCTTTTGTTTTTGCTTTTGCTTTTGCTTTTGCTTTTGTTTTTGTTTTTGTTTTTGTTTTTGCTTTTGTTTTTGCTTTTGCTTTTGCTTTTGTTTTTGCTTTTGTTTTTGCTTTTGCTTTTGCTTTTGCTTTTGTTTTTGCTTTTGCTTTTGTTTTTGTTTTTGTTTTTGCTTTTGCTTTTGCTTTTGCTTTTGCTTTTGCTTTTGCTTTTGCTTTTGCTTTTGCTTTTGCTTTTGCTTTTGTTTTTGCTTTTGTTTTTGCTTTTGCTTTTGTTTTTGCTTTTGTTTTTGCTTTTGCTTTTGCTTTTGCTTTTGCTTTTGCTTTTGCTTTTGTTTTTGGTTTTGCTTTTGCTTTTACCTTTACATTTTATTTTTACTTTTGGTGATTATACTATTATTGAGTGCCGTAGTTGGGAAATAATAGGGAAAAGAAACATTAATAGACCTAATTAGCAGATATAATTATTATCGTAAAACAACGTGCAGTGTGTTTACTCACATGCAGCAAAAGATTTTTCGAAGACGCCATGTTTATTGTAATTTTGTCCCGACGAGGCGGGATATTGGATGGGGTAAAAAATCAAGATGAACACAGAGAAATAATTCGTCCACATAGGGCTCATATGAACTGGCCTAAACTGGGCGATTATTTTTAATTCAAGCATTTATAGTTAGAACTTTTGGGGCAGCGCTCCAGGGTTTTTTAATTCAGTGCTTAAATACATTGTAATTGCCACTTGCTTATAATTATGCATGATTACTTGCTGATGTTAATAATGATCTAGCAGATACATGACAACCTGTGTTTATTGCTTTGTATTTTTATCTCATGCATTACTGATTTTGTATCTTATTCGAATTTTAAACCTTCATCTTGTTTCGATATGGTCGTAACGGTCGCGGAGATTGAGTCACAATTTTTATCAACAGCCAAAATACAACAGCTTAGAACTTATAGAATAGTGAGAATAAGCAGAGTGATTATAAATGGAGAATACTTATGATTTATGTGTAGTTTACGGGCAAAACTATTATAATCTGGCCGTTGAGAAAGATCGTGAGTCTATCTTTACGACCATCGCGACCAAATGGAAACCTGGCGATGCATGAGTCTATTAGCGGTTTTGAGCAAACGTTAACGTGTTCTCCCTAGAGAGTAGAGGTACAGCATGCAAGGACTCCTTGAAAGTGTCACATGCTTTAAGCTACTTGC